GCTTTGACTGGAATATCATGTTTCAGAGAAACATGCATAAACTCAGATATGACCATACAGCTTTGAGAAACAAAGATTGGACTTTATGGAATAAAGCCTCTTGGAAATATTGGCCTGGCACCTTGCTTCCAGGGTTTCCAGCAACCTTACCATGTGAGTAAGGAAAGTCACTCTCTGGCAGGTGCAGAGAACCCCAGGATATTTTGGGGACCTTGAGAAGAGAGGAATTCACACGAATCTGTAGATATTGCAGGTGGTGTCTGATGATAAGTCCTTGGTCTGGCTTTCCTGGCCTTGAGAGACCTTTAAAGATCAATCTGAGATTCCTTATAAAATGTTCCAGCAAAGCAGATTTAAAAGAGCCTTTATGATCAATTGCCATTCTTGCTGTGCTTATGTAAATAACGGGGCCAAGTTTATTAAAACTGGACTTATTTTGCAAACCAATGAATCGTAATTTGACTATCTTTGATAAAAATGAGGGTGATTTTAGAGAGACAAATCATGTTTCAGCAGGAACTATAATATATATTTGTGGATGTTGGATTCTGGTTCTGTTAATTGTCTTCAGTTTTTGTTTTCTATCTGTAAACTGGACTGTATCCTGAATTCTAGTTTCCTCAAATATCTGGTACAGATCTCCAAATTAACCTTTTCAGGTTTTTTCTGTCCTTTTTATTTGGAGTCATTGAGAACTAAAACCACCCTTTTTTCTGAAGCCCTGCAAACTGAAGCTAGACAACTTAACATAAACCTAAGAGAGAGCACCATGAAGCCCATGTTTGGACAATCCTCATGCCTGTTGCTGTGTAAGCCACTCAAAAGGTTTACTTGAATGCCTGATGACATCCTTGGAGATATTTAAAACTGCAGGGGATGCTTCACCCCTGACATCTAGAGATCTTCTTGACTGACCATCCTCTGGCATGAGAAATTGGTTTATAATTTGCTCCAACCATTAATCTTGGTTTTCTTTTTGTTTCTCTAGAAATGCCTCTTACTGAATATCTGGTTACTTGCTTACACAATGTAGGCCTAACTTTGGAAGACCCTTTCTATGTTCTAGAGATGATCCAAAAGACTTGGAGGGAACTCAAATTAAGGAGCTAAACACTGCCAGATGTTTCTTTGTACCATCTTGGCCATAGAGACTGGGTCCTATTGAAATCCTGGTCTTCATCCCTGCTGGATGGGACTATAGGAAAAACACCACAGGGAACATGAACCATGCCATGGAAAAACATCACAGCTGGGTTCACCGAAACCTAGGCTGGCTTCATACTCTAGACACTGACTTCTCTGAATCGTCAAGTGATTCCCTGACAGACTGCAAAGTGCTGTTCAGAAAACAGCCTTCTAAAGATAAGTAATAAATGACTCCCATATTCTTACCTTATTTGTTAGACTATAGACAGCAGGCTACTTGGCTACATCAGATTTCACCTGAGGTTCTAGGCACTAACCTTAATTGGTTTACAGGCCTCTTCTCCTGGATTCCCCAAGGATTGAGGTCCATTATGGTGAGGATACTATAATTTGGGCTGTCCATTTTGCTAATCTGTGTGGTCATCTGTGTAATTATAAAATGTGAACTTAAGTGTTGTTCCAAAGCCACTGATCAGAGTACTAAAATATTAGTAATGCAAAGCATATCTCGCTCTCCCCACCTGGTACCCCAAAATATTTTAAAATAAAGGTAAAACAGTTTCATTCCTCTGATCCTCATCTTTGCCCTTTTATAGCAGGAAGTAGCTAGAGCAGTCTTCACCTCTCATTCCCCAAGATTGAGGAATGATCGTAAGACAGTGGGGATTGAAGTTGGGCAGGAAGAGGTTAAAAAGTCTTCCCTGGGCTAGAAGAAGAGAACAAAAACTTTGAGATAAGCTTTGCTAACTGCAGCTGTGTATATTCAGCATAATCAACTGTTGTTTAAAACTAACCAGGTCTTTCTGTCCCTCCTTAGTATGGAGTGAGCTGTCTTTCCCAGGAAGTCAAGGTCCAGACATCAAGATTCAGCCTCACAAGGCCAAACACAGGCTGAAGATGAAAGCTAACCAGAAAAGTCCAGGCAGTCAAGGGAAAGAAATTCAGTCTCCAGGGCCAAACACAGGCTGGTGGGAAGGTGCCAACCAGCATGGCCATATGCTTTCCCTCTGTTACCTAAAACCCCAGCACATGCTCTCCCTCCCCTACCTAAAACTCCAGATAAAAACCCCTACCTTTTTCCATTCAAGGAGGTGGATCTGAGTTCTAACTAACTCCCTTCTCCTCATCTGGCTGCCTTTCAATAATAGTAAACCTCTTTCCTTGCCACAAGCCTAGTGTTTTAGTTTTTTTCTTTATTGGCCCTACTATGTGGTGGGTAAAAGAACCTGTGTTTCAGTCCAATAACAGTAAAACTTTCAAAATTGGAGACCCTGCTGCTGCTTTATCAACTAAGTTTCTGTAATATTTTGAATCCTTTGTTGTCATTTCAACAATCTTCACCAGGAATAGATTCCATCTCAAGAAACCACTTTCTTTGCTCATCCTTAAAAACCAACTCCTCATCCATTAAAGTTTTCTCATGAGATTGCAGCAACTCAGTCACATCCTTAGGCTCCACTTCTAATTCTACTTCTCTTACTATTTCCAACACGTCTGCATTTACTTTCTCCACTGAAGTCTTGAACCCCTCAAAGTTATCCTGAGAGTTGGAATAAACTTTTTCCAAACTCGTGTTAATGCTGATATTTTGACCTCTACCCATGAATTGCAAATGTTCTTAATGGCATCTAGAATGGTGAATTCTTTCCAGAAGGTTTTCAATTTCCTTTGCTCAGATCCATCAGAGGAATCACTATGTATGGCAACTATAGCATTACAAAATGTATGTCTTAAATAGTGAGACTTGAAAGTAAAAATTACTCCTTGATCCATGGGTTGCAGAATGGATATTGTTAGCAGGCATAAAAACAACATTAATCTCATTGTATATCTCCATCAGAGCTCTTGGGTGACTAGGTGTATTGTCAATGAGCAGTAACATTTTGAAATAAATCTCTTTTTTCTGAGCAGTAGGTCTCAACAATGGGATTAAAATATTAAGTAAACCATATTATAAGCAGATGTGCTGTCATCCAGGCTTTGTTTTTCCATTTATAGAGCACAAGCAGAGTAGATTTAGCATAATTCTTAAGGGCCCTAGGATTTTCAGAATGGTAAATGAGCATTGACCTCAACTTAAAGTCACCAGTTACATTAGCCCCTAACAAGAGAGTCAGCTTGTTCTTTGAAGCTTTGAAGCCAGGTATTGACTTCTCCTCTCTAGCTATGAAAGTCCTAGATGGCATCTTCTGCCAATATAAGACTGTTTTGTCTACATTGAAAATCTGTCGTTTAGTGTAGCCACCTTCATTAATTATCTTAGCTGGATCTTCTGGATAACTTGCTGCAGCTTCTACATCAGCAGTTGCTGCTTCACCTTGCACTTTTATGTTATGGAGATGGCTTCTTTCCTTAAACCTCATGAACCAACCTCTGCTAGCTTCAAACTTTTCTTCTGCAGCTTCCTCACCGTTCTCTCCTCTGTAGAATTGAAGAGAGTTAGGGTCTTGCTCTGGATTAGGCTTTGGCTTAAAGGAATGTTGTGGCTGGTTTGATCTTCTATCCAGACCACTAACACTTTCTCCATATCAGCAATAAGGCTGTTCTGCTTTCTTATCATTTGTGTGTTCACTGGAGCAGCACTTTTAATTTCCTCCAAGAACTTTTTCTTTGCATTTGCAGCTTGGCTAACTCTTTGGCACAAGAGGCCTAACTTTCAGGCTTTCTCAGCTTTTGACGTGCCTTCCTCACTAAACTCGATCATTTCTAGCTTTTGATTTAAAATGAGAGACATGTGACTCTTCCTTTCACTTGAACACTTAGAGGCCATTATAGGGTTATTAATTGACCTAATTTCAATACTGTTTTGACTCAGGGAATAGGGAGGCCTGAGGAGAGGGAGAGAGATGGGGGAATGGCTGGTCGGTGGAGTAGTGAGAAAACACACAATGTTTATCTGTTAAGTTTGCCATCTTATATCTGCGCAGTTCATGGCGTTCCAAAACAATTAAAATAGTAACATCAAAGATCACTGATCAGAGATCACCATAACAGGATAATAATGAAAGAGTTTGAAATATTGTGAGAATTACCAAAATTTTACAGACACAAAGTGAGCAAATGCTGTTGGAAAAATGGCACCAACAGACTTGCTCGATGCAGGGTTGCTACAATCCTTCAATTTGTAAGTGAAATATCTGCAAAGCACAATAAAACGAGGTATGCCTGTATAAATTTATGAAAAAATGGAAAAAAATTGAAGTGGAAAAGAGGAGTCCTTAATACAAGTCCTGCTTCTGTCTCTCTAGTGGTGTGACCTTTGGTAAGTCACTTCCCCTACTGGATTTATCCTTATATGGGAAATGAGTAGGTTCGATTAGACACTCTCCAGTTCCTTTTCAGTACTAAAATGTTATTTCTACATATGAGATCAATATTTTTGACATAGTTTAAAATGGACAGTATTTCAATAATAACAGTAAAATTTATGAAGAGTTAGCTCATAAATTTGGAAGTAATTATAACAATAGTTTTCCAAATCACAGTGTTAGAATTGATCCCCAAGTAACCCTGCTTTACCGTGTACAATATATGGAAAACACAAAGAAAACTATGCCCCAAATAGAAATAAGCAAGAAACTTTATCTTGGGTTTATTTTGTGCTTTTTTTGAAGAGGAATTTGAGTAACCACTGATGTAAATTTTTATAAATAACAATTCTATAAAACTGTCATGTTGTTAGCCACTCATCAAATTAAAATGCTTCCCTGACTTTCTCATTCAGAGATGAGACTATTCACTTGGCGTTCTCAAAAGTAGAAAGTTATTTTCAAATTAACACAGTCTGTTGAATTTACTTTTTGCTCATCACAGCTAAGATGCATTGAAAAATGAAGATGGGTACTTTTACTTACGTTTGCTCCTGTCCCCAACTTTTTCCCAGGAAGATTAAAAAACAAAGTATGCCCCAAAGGCCCATGGCTGGCGGCAGCAGTAAACCATGGATATAACCTTCTTGAAGTTACTCTCCTCTTAAATAAACTGAGCTTTGAAGGATTTGGGTAAGTTAGTTTACTGGTTAATTATTAATGTCAGAAAGAGGGACTTCTAAGTAGGAAAACTATAATCGGTAATGAAACACCCTTTAATGCTGAGGTATAAAGGTAGGAGATATAGGGATTTACACCTAAAGAATTTATGTTGACTAATACAAATAAAGGGATTCTAATGTGAGTTTGGCATTATGATGACTGGCTCAAAGCTGGAAACCAGTAAGTTGCATTGCCTTTGGCCTTCCTTCTCTTGGCCGGGCAACTGCTCGGACGTTGTATCATCTATGAGCATGCCTCTGGGATATCCACTCTGATACTGATGGAGACCTGCCTGGATTCAGTTTCAAGTTGAGGTGATTTTAGAATGGGTCTGGTTTAGACAGGGCTCACAAGGTGATCTTTCTAGAGAAGACCTGAGTGGTAGAGTCGTTGGCACTGGAAATGGTCTTAGGATAAGATGGATCTGCAAAGGAGGTCTATGGAATAGTTTCTTGGTCTGTCCCAGTCTAGAGAAGAAGTTGAACATTAGGTGGAGGAAAGATTGTGACTGGCAATGAAATTTTCATGCTTAGTATGCTGGCATCATTTTCTAGGAAATAAATAATCAATCAGATACTTCAGTATTTAGCAGGGAATGGACATCCTCCAATATCTATTAATTCATACACCACAAATTCAAAATTTGCATTCATTCAGACACAGAATATCTTTCTTTTTAAAAAAATAAACTCATGATGTACTTTTCAGTGAGGATGTTAACAATTTTAATATAAGAGCTCAAGAAAAACAAAACTTCCTACAACAAATGAATCTAGTAATTAATTGAGAATAAAATAAAATTTTATCTTTAAGATTTTTATGATGTTTTATTTTCACTAGAAAATTTTTTATTTACTACCTTCCTTTTATTAGCACTCATTTCTACTCTAGTATATAACAGCTACTCTATTTTAAAGTAGTAAAATGGATTTCTCTAAACATTTTTCTATTATTTAGATGTTTTTATGGTCACATTGGCATTCCTTGCTTTGAATTAATAAAGTTCTATTTTACCAACACTTTAGTACTGAATTCATTAGAAAAACAGTTGCACAAAGAAAAATTTGATACATGATTTTCACTAACGGTGTCTCTTGCATATGTTATTGAAATGGCAAAAATCTGCCACTATTGTCTGAACATCTAGCCCATTTATTTCAAAAGGAAATCTGTAAAATGATTAAACTGGGTTGCAAAACATGGGTCAAGTTAAAACAAACAAAGTACTTTTGCCATCATTTTCGGGAAAAGATATTTAGGCGAAAGCAAGAACACTCAAATCATCATAGATATTTGTATTTTAAGTACAAGGAAGTTTATTTTCTTGTATTATAGAGTCAATGTTGATAAATGATATTTGCAAACCATTGGCATGTTTCTCTGGTAGAAAACATTTAAAATATGATGGATCTCAAAGGTTCTCAATAGAACTAAAGTTCAACAATTTATAGATTCTCAACTGTGTTTAACTAAAATGTTTTATCTACCGTCTAAACATGGCTCAAAGATGGATTCTTCTTTTTTTTTTTTTAATTTTTTGTTTATTGCAGTAACATTGGTTTATAACATTGTATAAATTTCAGGTTAAAGATGGATTCTTCTTTACATTTTAAAATGTCAACGTTTTGCTCAAGTCTGGCTTTAGACAAATACTGCATCTCTGAAAGAGGAGATTCTAGGTCTGGCAGAAACTTTGGTGGTCACCTGACCTTCCTGCTAATGCCACCTCAGATCTACCCTCAGGATCAAGACCAAATAAAAGAATTCACTTAGTTCACAAGGCCCCTCCTGATCTGGGCCCTACTTGATTCTCCAGCCTCAATGTTCCCCTGCTTCACTGCAGCCAAGCAGCTGAATTATTTGTTATTATTCTCTGAAGTCACCATGACTTGAAGGTGCTCCTAGCAGGGTAATAAACAGTCAGCCAAACTATTATTTGTAACCTATTTATTCCCTCAATTTGACGTGTCTTCAGAAACATGGGTCATATGTATGGGATATTGATACCAGCACTGCAGAATGAGACTCGCTGAGAGTCTAAGTGCTCGACCATAACACCAGTGTGAAAAGGAATCATGGGGTACAAACTACATCCACTTGGGGAACCTTATAAGTAAATATCTCTCAGTCATTTGTCTTCCTACATATTTAAGTGGGTGTTAAAAAGACATTTAGCTACAAAAAGCTCATTGAAACAAAGTCTTAAAAGGAAGTCCAATGTGTAGAATAGTTAGAATAGAGGCGTTCCAGGTGAACAGAGTGAGGTGGCCCTGCCCTCCGCCTGTGTGATCCCCCAGGTGGCCCTTGTGGAGGCTCCGTGGGAACCCTGGGGTCCCCTGACACATGGTTTAAAAACTGTTAACTTAAAGTTCCAAACAACCTCCCCCAGGTATTCTTGTTTCACTCGGTCCATTCCTATTACTCCCTTCTACCAACATCCCTAAGTCCAGCTTGAAATTAGTTTGAAATTTTTTGAAATTAGTTGATCAGGCCAAAGGAGGAACCAGCCTCTTTTCTCTCTGTGTCCAAGATCCACTGCTTTAGCTGCAAGTTAAAACTCCGCTCCCGAGTGACTTGGGCTATCAACACCAAGCCCTCTAAAAGCCCCTTGTTTCTTCACAATCCTGTTCCTGTATCCCACATCCAAGACCCTGGTATCCCAACATCACACCAGGAATTCACCACAGACTGCAAGAAACCTGGTAGAGGATAATGGGAAAATAGACACTCCAGGTATATACCTCAGAAAACTTTCTCATATCCGCCTAAAGAGACTAATACAGGAATGCTCTTTGTAGCATTATTTGTAATAGCAAAAATTTGGCAGCAACTTAAAACAGCAGAAAAATGATAAATACTTTACTGTATATTCACACAATGGAATGCAATGTTGGCTGATAAAACCAACTTGCAGAATGACATGAAGAGCATATAATAACATTTATATTTATATAAGTTTAAAAACATCCAAAACAATGTCATTGTCTATACACATTTATATCAGTAATAATGACATAAACATATGATCGTGAAAAGTAAATACTAAATTAGGATAGCAGTTATGTCTGGGATGGGTAGGAAAAATTTGGGGTAGGAAAGGGGTATATGCTTCCACTGTATCCACTACCTTTTGTTTTAAAGGAACATCTGAAGCCAGTATGGCAATATCTTACAAATAATTCAATAAAGTTTATTGGTAGTTATACAGGTGTTTGATAGGTCAGTCATGGTACTTTTCTAAAAGTTTGAGATGTTTCATTGAAAAAAAGTATGGTTTGGAGTGAGGCAGGCTTGAATTCAAATCCTGGCTCTGGCTAACTGGCTATGTGATCTTGGGCAACTTGAAACTCTTTGAGCCTCAGTTTTGTCATCTATAAAATCAAAATAATAATACCTCGTAGAGCTGATGGGAGAATGAAATGACACACGTGTAAAGTTCTGGGCATATAGCATGAACCTGAAAATGGTCACTGTTATTATTATTGGTTTAAGACATATTCATGATCTTCTACTCCTTTTTTTTTTTTTTAATATATGCATAGGATCATAGCAATCTGTTTTTCATACAGTTCTACCCTCCTGGCAGCATCCAGGCAGAACACAACACCAACAGTCTCAGGAATCTCAGGATGGAAGAATTTCTTTATTATTGAGCCCAGCAGAATTTTGCCTCTTCCACGTTCTTTGTTTGTTTTTTTGCTGGCAATTGAATGTCTGGGATTAGATGTCTGACCATCCTCAGAGTCTGACATTCTAATTTAGTGAGCAAAGAAGCACAAAAAAGTTCCCACAGGCCATAATCCTTTTTAGAAGGCATTTAAAAAGTTTTCTCTTGTTTACGGCATTGATTGCCATTAGCAGATTATGTGTAACCTACTACTTTATCTCATAAGCTGTAACAGGTCTTTGCTCAGAAATATCCGCCTCACTCTGACCGTTATGCAAGATGTTGTTTGAAACATTTTTTTTACTTCCTGGCATAGGTCTAGAAATTAAGAAAGGCCGTAAATGTTAATTCATCATCTCTACCAGACCTACAAACTCCACTGCATTTTAACAGGTGCTATATGAGATTCAGGCAGAGAGGACATGTTTCCAACCTTTATCCCAAGCTTATCCAAATAATGACAGCACAGTAGCTACCAATCAACATGTAACAGTTATTGTAATAATTAACTTACATAAATTGTCTTTAATCTTCACAACCACTCTGAAAGGTGCTACTACCTCAGGTTACCCGTGAAGAGACTAAGGCTCAGAGAAATATAGTGATTTGCTTCAGGGAACACATCTAGTCACTTGCAGAGATGGGTATTTGATTGCATTGAAATCGGGGGGAAAAAGAAGGGAAAGATACCAAACCACGCTGAAGTCTTCCCTTTTCTTTGACACCTCCTCCAGCTATCTATCTGTAACTGATTCTCCATTTTATAAACTCTTAAAGAATTTATAGCCTGGTCCACACATTTGATTCTTATTTATATACTACTTCACGTTCTAGGCAAAGGTTCAAAGGTACAAGACGGGAATGAGTTTGACATAAAGTGAAGAACTAGTCTGCCTTATGTCTGGTTCTCCCTTCCTCACAGGGTACTGGGGTAAAATTGGCTAAAGTGGCAACCAGGCAGCTGGCAGATTGGGGAGATTACCTGAAAAGGCTAGAGGTGGGAAGAGCCAGGGAATAGCTGGGTAAGCCACGTCCTAGGGAACACAGTGGTTCAAATCCAGGCGTCGATGAATTTGTATCTAAGTTCCAAATGGTAACTGAAGAAAGCTATTGCTCAAACTATTCTTGTAAGTCACCAGAGTAGTGGGTTCAGAATAGCATGTCCCAAAAAGCCACTTCAGGTTCCTAAATCAGATTTCAGAGTAGAGGGTATGGAGGAGGTGGAAAATAACGTCAAAAGTGTTCATGATGGAATGCAGTT